AACGTGGTCCGCTGACCGACGACGGGATATTGTAATATTTTCCCATTGTTTTCGGTTTTCTCGTCGGATACCACTAAGCACGTGGATCGTACATCGTTTATATGTAGACGGATTAATATACGATACGTATACGATTGCGTAAATTTATACGTGTATATATTGGTCTTTTTTTTTTTTAAATACAAAAAAAAAAAAATAATAATAAAAAATATCTCCGCCGGTTTTCCGACAACGGCAATAATAATATTTCGCGGATATATCCTTATCTCGCGCGAATAACAACAACAGTAGTAATAACATAACTAAAAAGCGGATCGAGAATATTATAAAGTATATATCGTCCGATGCGGGTTCGCGCACACTGCGTAACGACGTATAGCGTAAAATAAAATAAAAAAAAAAAAAAATATTCCAATTGTTCGTGCGAAAATCGTAATTTATAGTCCAAAGATAAAGTCCATTAAAATCCCCAAACGGAACGTTATCGGAAGTCCAAATACAAAATATATACGAGTGTACGTACGATAATATTATTATTATTATTATTGTATTATTCGTTTTCGGCATTCTGCACCGTTAATATTGTATAATTTATCAACTTTTATTATCTTTAACGGTCGACACTTTGAAAACCGACGGTTTTAATTATTAAGTACTCGGCCACCTAAACGGTATAACGATTGTGGACTCGCGTACAAGACGGCGCAGTTGTTACGAATTACATTTCGAATGTCAAATTCGTTATCGTATATTTTTGTGTGAATTGCGTTCGAGCACGCCCGTTACTTAAAAGTGTTTGAATGCGAGTGCAATTGCCTGCCCGTCAAAAACGAAATGCTCGTTTACGAAAAAACCGTCGAAAAAAAAAAAAGACGTCCTAGGATGGGCGCGGGACGGGCGCGCTCACTGTTATAGACGATTAAATGTAAATACATACACCTGTGTGCGACCATTTAGCAATTGGTAGCCCATTGCTTACGGATAAACGATTCTGAGCGGAAATCAGTCGACAATACTGTAGCCAATGCAATACCATAATACTGTGGTAAAATAGTTAAATAGGCTTTATACGTTTTTCTATAATAATATTTGTTTAATGTTGTACCGATTTTCCCAGTTTTCCTATGGTTTATTCCGGTTTTCCGAATTCGATGAGAAAACACCTGAGAAAATCGAAAAACGACCTCCTTGAAGTACCTCCCCATGCCGATTTACTTTCAGAAAAGGCGCTATACGTATTTACCCGATTAAGACTTCTGGTGGAAAAGTTGCGCACTGATAAAAAAAAAAAAAAAATAAACGTCTTGGTAAAACTATTAAACTATAAGCTTATTCGCTTCGCTCAGAATCCGAAATTACAAACAAACACTTTAAATTATTTGTGAATGTGTAATCATATTAAAGAATTTCAGTTGTTGCGCATTAGAATATTATTTGATTACGTTAATAAATGACGTGCTTCTTAAGCTTGTTGCTTTACATTAGATGATCCATTAGCGTAATGAGTTATATATTGATGAGTTATTACATGTTACATTTTGAAAAAATTTCATCACAAAGTCTTAGAACCGTTATAAAATATAAATTTACTACCGAAGAGTAAAAAATTTAGAATCGCGAGAATTGAAACATATCTATAACGATGACCTGTGCACAAAAGTGTTTTGTATTCTGGAATAAAAACAAAAAAAAAAAACGGACGGACGGACGAATTTCCGAAAATTCAGACTAACGTTCCGAATACATTGCCAAGACGCGAAAAATCTACGTTGTTCCGACGCGTTTTTAATAACCGAAATGGTGTATTTTCCGTAGAAAAAAAAATGCAGCGGAGCCAACTGTTTCGGCGCTACTCTCGAAAATGAACAGTAAACCGCGTAACCCCCTCCCCGCCACCTACGTCCGTCGTAAAAACGTAAAAATTCCGCGCGCGTATGCGGGCGCTCAGCGCGTATATAAAGTAAAAAAAAAAAAAAAAACACAGAGTCGGCAGTTTTTTAATAGAGAGCGATTCGAGCTTTTGAAATTCCATTAGACCCGTCTCGGCGACAGCGGCTAAACCGCGTCCCTCCGGACATCGGAGACGAAAACTAAACGGCAACGATAAATTTACGTTCGCCCGGAAACACGGACGCGTCGCGCAGTTGCGACGCAGTAAACGACGCGAACGGCGCGAGCGGCCCCCGACGGTCCGGAAACCGTCTCGAAACGCGCGGCCCGAGTTATTAAAAAAAAAAAAAAAACTATTATCGTTAATTTTTTTTATTATCGTCATTTCCCCTCCCCCCCCCCCCACTACCGTTTTCGTTGTCGGACACCGCGGGCGGCATCGACAGCGATGATCGATGTTTCGATCGGCCGGACGACTGCGTGCCGCGGAACAAGACGACTCGACGTAATAACGTAACGCGATCACGCGGGCGGCGCGCGGCGCGGTTTTTTTCACGGTACTTTCCGCCCTCGATAAAACGCGACCGCGTTAATCGTTACCGTTGTGTACACACGCGTGGGATCGGATGCGACGTATTTTCTCTTTTTTTTTTTTTTTTTCATTTTTCGGTCCGCTACTCCTCCCCGTTCGACGACGGGTACGCTGCACTCGGCTCGCTACCGTGCCAACCGGTTATGTTGTTATTATTGTGCGGGTAATGGAATACCATACGCCTCGGCTCCGTCGTTAATACCGATTTTTCGTCGATTTCCGATATCGGTAAATTATACCGAAAAAAAAAAAAAAAAACGAATTTAATCGAAACGCGACGTCCGTCGGGTATAAAATACGGTAAAGGGCCGTCGGCACGGTCGCGCGTGTTCCCACATCGTGGACGTTACGTTGTTGCGTTACGGGTATTACCGTGAACAATAACAACGTGCACGTTGGAACGCTATATGTGTACTTGTGTGTACCTCGTCGGCGGTAAAAAATTATTTTGTGGGGCGGGGGTGTTGAAACGTGTAAAAAAAAAACAAAATTAAAAAGACGAAAAAAAAAAAAAAAAGCCTACCGAGTATAGTAATAATAACGATAATAATAATAATAATAATAATGATAATAAAACGAACGTCGGACGGGATTAAACGGGGCGCGGGTTTCCGCCGCCGCCCGCGGATTAATTAGTTTTCGAAAATCGAATTAAAACCGGACGGGATTATGTCGCCGGGCGTCGGTCGCCCCCGCCGTCACGGACGGCCGCCGCGATAAATATCAAACGGCCGTCGCCCCGTTCCGTCATAAATTACGGCCCCGCGGCCGTAATTGACGGACGCGCCGCGGCTAAAGTCTGCCGGGACGCCCGGCCGAGCGGGAGAGGTTCGCGCGCCCGGAAAGCGGTCGGACGCGGCGCCCGGAACATAAAACATCGCGTTTTCCGTAGCGCGTACGCGGACCGGTTGGCGGGCGAGCGCGAGGGTGAGAAGGGATCGGGCGGCCGATTGCGCGGAAAATCCGACGGGCCGCGGCGTTCCGGTCCGCGCGTCGCGACCGGTCCTCGCGTCACACCCGGACAACTAGTCATCGGGCCGTCATCAGCCCGTAACCCGAACTATTTACCACGCGTGCGACCGAGAACGCCACATAACACGGTATAGCGTATCGAACGCTCGTGTAACGTTAAGTTAAAGCACAAGTAAGAACAACACACGGTCAAGATTTGACCGTTATTAAATGAGAGATGAAGCTTCCCGGTTTTCCTACGTATTTCCGTTTTTTTTTCCCCTCGATTTTTCATATTCGTTGAGAAGAAAGCTCCGGAGAAAATCGAAAAACGACCTCTCTAAAGTCTCACCTATCCAGTGAGATTTTCGTTTAGAAAATTTGCTGTCATGTCGGAGCAAAAATCCTGGTAGAGAGGCTGTACACGGGAAACAAGAAGGCCATAATATTTTTAGCAAATACATACAATACATAAATTTCTTACATTTTTCCGTTTTTCCTCCGTTTTTTTTTTTTAATCGGTTTTTCACATTTGTCAAGAAAACTATTGAGAAAATCTGAAACCGATATCCTTAAAATACTTAAATACAAAATATCGCGAAAACCAATAGAATAATTCTAAAAATAAAGCCAAGTTTATGCTCGATCTCGAATAAAAGTTTCTATTCTATGCGATGATTAAATGTTAAATTATAAAAAATTGCGTTTTGTCGTAATGGCGACATCGTGTTCGCCTTTTCAAACAAATCTACCCGCATTGTAGGCCACAACGAACAATTTTGACGTCATCGGTTTCATGTTATATGTTTGATTTGTGTTATAATTCCATGATGTGAGTAGATTACTTAAAATGTATGGTTACGCATGCATGTATACATGTACACATTAATTAATAAAAAGTTAGTATTCAGAAAGAAGAACAATGTATAAAACGCCCACTACTGAAATAAGATCTTATAGGATTTTTAAAAATTTTTAAAGATTAGTGTTTAGCAACATTTTCGCGGGACTTCCGGCAGAATAAAATATGCTACGCGGGAAGTTTATTAAAATTAGCTTAAAGCTTAATCCCTTTTAAGCGATTTTCCATTGAGTATTCAGAGCGATGATGCAGTGACACGCTTTCGAGATCGATATATACCCGCCAACATCATTACCATAATGTATTATCTTCTTTGTGAAATTGTTTTGAATTTTTCATCGCCCGGATAACATGTCCGTAATATGGAATAAAAAAAAAAAAAATAAAGACATTACGTTACAGTTTAACCAAGTCGACACGATTCGAGATGACATAAAAACGTCATAGACTTTTCTATTTTCAAATACATTTTTATCTTACACGTCATAATATATATAATAACAGAGTAATTTCGATCGGATAATATTATCGTATTCGTCATGTTTTCAGTAAAAACTGACTGAAAAACTGAAAAATTCTAACCGTTTCTTCACCGTTTTCCCGCATCTCTTAAACAGTTCTAGCGGTTTCCTATTTGGACCAAACGAAATGAAAATCGGAAATCAGAGTGGTTTTGTCGGTGTATTGAAATGGCAAAAGTTGTTTTCAAAGGACGAATAGTGTTTGTTTTAGTTTCGTACACCCTCGTGCACAGGGCCTGTGTGTATAATGAATTTGCCACCGGTATGCTGGGGTTGGTTTGCCGATAAACTTTTTTTTACGTTTTTCCTCGTCGCCCGCCAAATCCTCGGTCTTCCGCCCATAAATTCTTGCACATCTCTTCGGAAAAGTTCCGGGCGCTATGTTCGATGTGCGTTTTGTCACGCTTCCCCCTCCCCTATATGTACACTGGTGCACCCTTTTTTTGGCCGCGGTCATTCCGGTCAGCCAGGCCGGGGCCCGCACAGAGTCTCCGAACGAACGAACCATGGCGGATGACGTTTCGCGCGTCATGCCCGGGGCGCTAAGTCGGGTGTGCGCTTTTCGGGAGTTTCGGCTTTCGTCCCAGTACGTTCGTTCATACGACGAAACGCCAAACTTTTTTTTTCGAAATAATCACCGCAGTAGTACGTACACTAAGCACTAAAGTACAATCGCATTTCGTCACCCATACCGTAACGGCACGAGAACCGGCGGGGCGCGCCCCGGTCCTCCGAACGAAATACGTTTAGCGCGCGGCACTACGCGCGTCCCGGCACCCGGTCGTCGAGCCGGCCCGATCGGCGCGGTCGGGGCACGACGGCGCGAACAACAAACGGGTACCGCGCAGGAACGTTTACGCGCGCCGGGCTCATGGAAATACGATGACAACGCGGTGCGACCGGGGCGCCGGTTTCGTTTTCGCGAAACGTTCGTTTCGTTATCACTGTTGTTGTTGTTCGGATTATCGTGACGCGCAAACGTCGCGACAACCGAAAACGCGTTTGTTCCGGGGACGGGAAAAAAACGTCCGGCCGAAAAAACAAAAAAAACGCTCGCGCATAACGCTACAACAACAACAATAATAACACGCGAAATTTCTCTCGCGCACGTACCTGCGTAATGTACGCGCCGAAATTAAATAAATCGTCGTATGTTTTTTTTCTCCCGTCTCTCGCCAACCCCCCCCCCACCCCGTCAGCACAAACGACCGTGACGTACACGATAAAGCACACGGCCTGGCTGTTAAAACGTTTCGTTATTGTTCTTATTATTATTATTTTTTTTTTTCTACGAAATTTCTTAGGTGCGTTACCGCGCGGATCGACCGACTGCCATTATTAAGTGGGTAAAAAAAAAGCATATTTATTATATTTCATTTTCACTACGACAAACCGATTTCGGATAATAAAACAAACGTCTGTTTGAAAATTTCTGTTAAAACTTATTATCGACTTGGATCATTTTTTTTTCTTCGGTAATTTTGCTATATATTATATGTATTGGTTAAATTTAAAGCCGTTTGACTCGTCGATGGCCGGTGCGCCTTGTCGTCGAGCGGCCGAACGGCGTTTCGCGGGTTTCGACGGATAAAATGCCGAACATTATGCAATATAACGTTTCCGTCCACACACTGGCCAGCGCCAATGGCCAGTGCATCGTATTCGGACATTTTGTCCAATTTCAGTCTAATATTTGGCGAGCGCTGTTTTCAAGTTGACTCTTTAGCCGATTTCCCCGTGCGGAAATATGGACGAATATTTCGTGCCGACCGAGAGGTTCGCAGCCGGTCCCTTACAGAGCGTCTTAAACGAGTTTTACTGTATTTTATTTCAGGGACTCCTGACTACCCGTCACCTTATCTGGTAATCATTTCAAAATTCGAGTTCGATTTGCCGTCGACATCGCATAATTTATTGTTTAGATAAAACCAAGTCTTTCCGACTTTTCATTTGTTGCGCACAAAATATTAAATTTTATTTTTGCCTAAAATAATAGCGATCGATATAATATCATAAATGTATTGTTTCAATGTGACTTTGAAGTCAATACTTTTACGTACGGTAAAAATAGACGAGCGAAATAACCACTCAAAATCGAAACGGCCTATTCCGCGTCCTTAGAATCTCAATATATTTTGCTCCAATATGGAAACTTGTACGTAGATACGTAGATACTATCGAAAGAAGAATAATCGATTTGAATTTTGGTGTGAAATACAATTTATATTTCTTACTGCCCGGGATGGTGCAAATCACAAATGTTTACGGTCAATTTCGGTGCAAATCGGCTACACCCGAATGTTTACACCAGGCCGTATTTCTGCAGTGAATTTTTAATAAGCATTCTCTAGTGAAATTTTACCCCCCCCTCCCCGGGTCGTATTTCATCGCAATGAAAATTTACCGCGGGAGTGATTATTTTATCACGGGGTCGATTCTCGGCGGTTAACGTCGCGGGATACCGAACATTGAAATCCGAAACGAAGCAGCCGCCGATTGAATATCAGCCGCGAGACCCGCACGGTTCGGACGCCCGCGTTTGGGAACCGCCGCGGTCGATAAATCGTAAAAATAATAGAAAATTACGGGGCATAAAATAAAAAAAAAAAAACAAAACCGATCGCGCGTTTCACACGCGCGCGCCGGAATTTCATTAATAAAACGAATATAATCGTAAAAAACCAATCATCGGCGCGGTTGTCGAAATAACAATAACAATTAACCATAATGCCGAATATTAAAACGTGTATTAAAATATTTCGCGGGATAAATAAACCCCGTTTGGTCTGTTGTTTACGGTGTACGCGCCGTCCGATAACAGTTTTATTATTATCCCCGTATAACCCCGGATCCGAAAATCGATTAAACGTTCTAATTGGCGGCGACAAACAACACGCACTCCGTATACTCCCACGATATGCACTGTGATATTAATTTTCGACGCACGAACCCCCCCCCACCCTCCTCTCCTTACGCCTTTAATATATTTTAATTAACTCGGCGACGGCGACGGTATTTTACTCGATAAAATATACACGTAGTTCGTTATTAAATTTCGACATTACGTTATTGTGTTATTAACAATAATAACATTGTGTACGCCAGCGTATCGAATCGGACGGCGTTGTGGATAAAACGGTTTTTAATTGTAAACAGTTTAATATAGTATTTAGATTCTGAGCGGAGCAAACGAGCTTCTTTCTACAATGATGTTCGTTTTCAGTTTTTCCCGCGGACCACTGTTCCACCGGAAATCCTAAAAAACTCGAGAGCCGCGGGTGACGCGTGCCACGAGTCCTCGTGGTGGGGGACTCGTCGCATCCACGGCCCGCGACTTCACTTGTGCCGAATCGATGCGGGCAGGCTTGAAAAGCGGTCCGTGTCCGGACGATGAGCCGCGCGGAGAAATGGGCCGGCGACTGCGCGAGTACCCGCCGGACGTTCGGGAACGAACGCGGTGTGCGACACGGCCGGTGGCGGTGGCGTCCCGCCGCACCTGCGGCCACTAGCCGGCGGTTTCGCATCGGCCGGTGTTCGGATCAGAGAGCGGACCGTTCGACGACTTCCGAGTCAAGCGGCGGCGACCTCGCGAGCGTCCTTGCAATGCTCGAGTGGACGACGCCGTTCGTGAACAATTGTTGTTGATGGTCGGCCGCCGTGCCGTGCCCCGTTAAACGCGGCGGCGAGGCTGACATTTGGTGTCGGCGGCAACCGCCGTTCCCGCGCAAAGGAGTCCCGGGAGTGCGGGCGCACGCGCGGAGGCCGGGAACGCGTGTGCGGGCGGCTCAGTCCCCGCAGTCCCCAGAGCCAACGAGCCGACAGCGAATCGTAATCGACGTGCGCCGTAAAGTTGAGTTTTCGACCGAGAACCGCCCGGAGGTATTTCGACTGGCGGCACGGACTTGACTCCTCGACCCGGACCGGCGGAGAACGTGCGCGTGGGCCTCCGACTAATAATAATTTTTTTCCCGGTTTTCTCCACCGGGAAAAAAAACAGAGCCGGTTCCGCTTTCCCGGCAGTGGTTCGGTCGGCTCTGCGCTCGATCCCTGATTCCGCTACGACCATCCGCCCCGTTATCTGCGCGCAGGAAGACGGTAACAACCCGGCAAGGTAACGCGTGCCGGTAGCGATTCTTCCTTAATGCCGTCCGGGCCTCCTCGAGGATAATTATCACGTTTGAAATCGACGGGGAATTTCGCGCGTTGAGATTTTAATTTTCTTATATTGTTTGTAACAATACGGTTGCGTTTAAAATATTTAAATATTTTTCGTAACGCGTGATTTCGTCTTTTTACATATATATGTATAATCCCTATTCCCCGTGGATCATCGCATCACGGCAACCGTTCGGCTTGATCGATTTTGCCGATTTTTTTATTTTTTTTTTTTTATTCGAAATTGTCCGGGCAGGGTTTTTATGAAAGAAAATTTGTAAAAAGCCAACCGAAAAAGTGGAAAATATGCCAAAAACTTAATTAATGATATCTAGGATTTGAACTCGATACCGTTGCACCCCGACATTATAAACGTTTTTTCTCAGTTGTTTTTATTAACTCTATGACAGATGCAGTTTTCATATACTCTATCGTATAACCGACGTGCTTTATTATCATTTCTGCATCTCTTTGTTGAATTATGGTGAATATGATAAATGTCGTTTAACAGCTGCATCGGTCGGCATCTATCGAAAAAGTTAATTTATTCATTTTTAATACACAGTCTATTCGAACTGAACGTACAAATGTACGTTATTTGTATTTATACAAATAGTTTTGAGTTCGTTGAGTGAATTTTTTAAGAAGTTGATTTACGTTCTATGTTAAAAGTTTAGTTTAATATCGATTTTAAAATTGAAATCCATGTACTGGTGTGCGTTTCTATGGGAAAATAATTTATTAATTTCTTAGTGTACAGTCCATTCGATCTGAACGTTTCTCTGGTTATGAATTTTTTGAGAAGTTCATCGCAGTTAGTTCACCGCAATTTACAATTGAATCATATATTTACGTACGCAACTCGCGGCGATTATTTTTTTTTCGGGCAAGTAAAAATTTGGATGGTATTCAAGTTATGGCGTCAGTGCGTCACCGACAAAATTTCGATTCATTTTTCTACATAACACATATATAGATTATGATTAGAGACGTAAAATCTCTATAGTTATAATTCTCTTATAATCCACAAAAAGAGTTCTTTAATACTTCAACAAATCACTGAATGAAACGTTCACAAACATTAAAAAAAGTAAAAATTATAGAAAAATTTAAATTTCTAACCACTAATGGATTTTAAATTAAACTAAATAAAATTTAAACTAAATTTTATTAAATTTAATTTCCCAACACTACAAAATTGATTCATACATACAAAATTTTTTTTAAATAAAATTTTTATTAATCATTTTTATGATTTTAGAAAATTGTATTTATAAATTAAATCCGTAAGAGGAAGGGGGACTATGAATCCCTTTTTATTATTTTTGCATTTTTATACATTTTTAAAGTGAT